GGGGGGGGGGGGGGAGGAGAGAGAATTTGAAGTATGGTATTTAGGCCCTATGACAATTTGCACTTTGGATTGTGCCCGCGCCCACCGTTCGTGGGTTTTCACAGGTATCCTCCCCCGATATTTTGCCAATCATTCTTGATAGTTTCTTCCGAATATTCTAAGGGCGTATGCTTGTATAGTGGCGATTTGCTAATCCCGTACTCAGAGTATTTCGAGCAAGTACACTCACCCCCAAGACCATGTCTTGCGAACGTAAAAGCTTGAGCTACATGTTTCATTTGAGAGAGTAAGAAAACTTATGTATGGTTCAGTACTAGTCTATGGTCGGGTGGGCCAAGTTGATGGACCATAAATTAATATTCCAATTCAACTCTTGAGCATGGACAAACGTTGCTTGCTTGCTCGAACCCATGCGTATGTTTGAGTGAATATATTTACTTCCTCGCTAGGATGGCTGAATTAATACTGAGATAGGTCGAGTACGGTTGAGTAAAATATTTTGCTCTCAGCCTGATTGAGTGTGATTGAGTAACACCCTCCGTTGCTGAGTGTGGCTAGGTAATAATACTTCACTCTGAGGTATGGACCCTAATTTTCTTTTACAGAGAGTGATTCCTTTATCGGGATTTTTCCCGACACCAGCTATAGCCCTGGGCGTTCTCGTTTGAGATCGAGTTCCTGTCTGTCTGTCATTGGTACCATAGAGGCCACATTCTTGCCTGTGTACGTTGTCGCGATAGTTTTGATAATATTCGCCTTGTTTCGAGAATGAAAGCCTTGCGTTGATGGAGCTATTTTCGAATAGCAGTGCGCAGGTAGGTCTCGCACTGGTGCACCGAATGCTATAGAACAAAGGCACGGGATGTGGTGGATGGTGGATGTTGGCGAGACCCCTGCCGCGTCGACTATAGTATCTGGTGCAGGGTACTCAATGCACCGGCGTCCATCAATGAAGCCCATCTCTCTTGTAGCTTCGCACGATGTGAAACCATTTGGCACTTGGGCCGTGCGCGATGGAATGATTCTAGTATCCCTCCGCCGCCGCCGCTCACCTATCATGGCAATGGTTCTGTTTCGTGGCCGCTACATGACAAACCAACCCTATGAGGCCACGGCTTTCCCGTGGCGAACCCATGACGGTCTGGAGTGAGCGAACTCGCAGCTCCGCTGATTGTGATGGGATATCGTGTTCAGTAAGGACAGGGGGCATTCAAGTCGCGGTATTGTTCTCCCGCAGGGAAGCATTCTCGATGGTGTACAGTAGCAATACTTTACAAATAATGATTCCTTCATCGGGATGTTTCTCGACACCAGCTGTAGCCCTGGGCGTTCTCGTTTGAGATGGATTTCCTGTCTGTCTGTCTGTCATTGGTACCATAGAGGCCACATTCTTGCCTGTGTAGGTTGAAGCGATTGAGTGTGAAACGCTTTGTTCACAGTTCTGATATCACGCACATTCATTGGTCCGTTAAGGGCAAGGTCCTTCGATGGATGCGTTGTCGAGCGGTGTGCTCGACTTGTTGTGTGCTCGAGATGAGAGTGAAGGTCAACGTAGGTAGATCGAGTCGGGATGAACGGTAGATTCTATTTTTTTTTCGTATGGTCAGATCTCAAATTGGTATCGTCGTGCTTACTCATTGTCGCTAGCGATCGTTCCAAAGTTGTTAGCGGGTGTTCCATGCACAGGCGTATGTTGCCTTGAGGTTTCGGGTCTTTGCGGTGTTTTGTGTTTAATATGATGATGACCTTGCCGATTGGACTGGCAGTGCTCAATGTGCCATATTTTTGTAAGTCGTGCCGTTGTTTTTGATGGTCACTGGCATCACCAGCTGTGACTGTGCTTCGTGCTATAGGGCGGAGCGCAAGATAATAAAGACACCGGCCCCGGACTGCGTTTTTGGAAGACACAGATGGGTTGTTCCCTCACACCCTACTATTGAAAGTTGTTTCGATTTTCGACCGTTTTGAAATTTAAACCTCAAAATCAAGTACACCACAGCGAGCATCTTGTTAGCTGGCGGAAAGTAAAAAAATTTGACCCACTACGTACGGTTGGTGATGGAAAGGTTATGCAGTATTCCGTACATGTTTTCTGAAAACATGGCCGCACCTAATACCTGTTTCTTCACGCTTCCATCGTAGCGTCCGCACTCTCTCGCTGCACTGCCCTACCATTTTTCCCAAAGGAGCTTTCCCCGAGACCTTGTACCTACACCGTTCATCAGTTGGATGGATTGTCAGTGTCGGCCCGTGCGCTGGAGAGTTAGTTTCTTCCTGTCTTGTTGTGATTGCAGCCCTCATGTAGTGCTGCAGTCTCTCCCCGAGATGGAAACCCAACAAAAACAATGTGTATGCTGTATGCTTCCCTCCGTGGAACCTGTCTACGTATGTTTTTCAACAGGTCGTACGGTGGACAGGCCCCCTCCAGATGCGGAACGTACAACCCGGTCTCTGAGAAGGTGTGTGGTGTGTGGCTGCCAACGACGAAGAATAGAGTACAACACAGTGTGCTTCTTGGAGAAACCGACTCTCGTGCGTTGTTCTAGCACATTCAGCGCGTATTCTTCCTGATTTCCCATACTGGTGCCATTTTTCAATCTTTCAAATCACCAGTGCACGTTAATCTTCATGGTGTAGGGGCGACATCCAGCCGCGCCTCTGCTTCTTTGGGAGACCCAAAGGAATGGAGTGGTCCTGGCTACGATGTTCTACCGCTTTTACTCCGACTAAATTTCCCGTAAGTTTGCCCTACACGATGCAAGCGCTGTGATCCAATGTTTATTCCGAAATTAACATGCAGCATTTCACAGTGGTGCGTTCTATTTGTCAATCGTGCGCGATCGGCAGGCCAGAAACTTCATGGACCCGGGCGCTGGTGCTCAAGTCGACGGTGGTGATGGACTCGTCTCCATTGTGACCACGGGATTGAGGGGGGTGAGGATTGCACCGCGCACCGCCGCCGCTGCCCAACCTCCTACCGGCACCGACACCGCCCCCGCCGCCGCCGCCGCCGCCGCCGCTCCCACACCGTCTCGATCAGCTTTCGAATACATGACCATTAACCAGGCGGTCAAGGAAGCGTGCATGTACCCCCCTGAGGTTAGTCGTGCTACGTGAAGGTTGTAAGGTTACCTACAGCGATATTTCTGGTCTCGTCGTTGAACACGATTGGTCGCAAGGCAGAAAGAAGGGTATGGAAACTAGGACTGAATAGCTCACGCACGGTTCAATACAACAAGCGCACCATGTTGTGCAACTCATCACACCTACTATTGTAGCGGAAGACATGCTACCGTGAAAACTTCTGCGTCCATCCTCGTGTGCACACGGGGGTAACACAGGTAGCCTGGCAGGAAAATATGTGAAAGGGCAAGCGACGCATCGTTACACAGCATGACTAACCTCAGGGGGGTGCATGTACCTGTCCTTTACAGCCTGTCCACGTTCACGTACTCGAACGGACTACACGACGCAGTGGGAGTGACAGTGGCTGAAGCAATATTTGAACTACTGCTTCGGTCGCCGTCGCTCCCGCTGCGCCTCCTACCTCGCCGTTCGATTACATGAACATTACCCTGGCTGTAAAAGGGACTACGTCTACCCTCCCGAGGTCGGTCATGCCACGTGAATGTTGTAAGGTTACCTATAGCGACGTGCTGGTCTTCTTGTCCAACACGTGGTCGCGTGCCCTTTCGCCCACTTGGTTTCTAGGAAACCTGTGTTGCCCCCGTATGCACTCGAGGATGAATGCAAGATTTCACAGTGAACTAACGCAACTCTTCGCCACGAAAGTAGGTCTGATGAAGAGCAAAGCTCAGCGTAAATCAGGGCGTTTGTTGTATTGAATCTTTGCGTGAGCATATCAATCCTCGTTTTGGTACCCGTCTGCCCTTCTTCTCGGATTGGTGCTGTAGTAATCTGTGGCGGACGCTCTATCGTGCATGTACCAAGGACAGCAGTGTGTGTTTCTCCTGAAAACGACTGTATTGAGCCTTCGCAAGAACGGGACCCATCTTTCCAACGCCTCTCAGGCCATTCGAAATTTTCACTGATGAGTTGCTGATAAAATGAGGGAAGTCAAATGCCCGTGTCATGTCTTTCCTGAACCCATGTTCGGAAGTACTCCTGGTACCTTTCCGGTACACTTGGTATGTATGCGGCTGGCAAGCTGTTGGTCCGCGCGATCCGCGTTCAGTGTACGTAAATGAGAAGTCCTCACCGAACCTGACCAGCGACGCGCCTGTTGGAGCTATTGGGTGTGCGATGTTTTCTGTCTGTTTTCTGTCTGTCGACCTGTCGTTGCTGATCTTATGTTGATGTATATTTCTTTCATACAGATGCTATACTAAGTATGTTTCTGTTGGTGGCGGTGGTGATATTTCGATGATCTAGCCGCTGCTGCGAATGTTGCCCTTCACCTTTCGAACAGGAACCCTGGGAGTGTGACGAAGCTGCTTCTGGCAGCGATGTGGAGGGCCTTCTGCGTAAGGTGTACGTTGCGGCGTGCAAGAACGGTCAACTGCGGTTTTGCACAACGGTCCGTTCTTGTACGCCTCGACGTACACCTTGCGGGGAAGGCCCTCCTCGTCGCTGTCAGAGGCGACTCCGTCCGACTCCCACGAGTCCTATCGCAAAGGTGAAGGGCAACGTTCGCAGCAGCGACTGAATACATCATCGATAATAGCACCAGCAACATCAACAGGAACGTAAAGAAACCTATATATCAAACAACATGAGCGCCATCGACAAGACAGACAACGTCCAACCAATAAACGACCAAGAACTCCAACAAAGGGGCGGCACTGGCCAGCTTTGGTGGGGACTACTTGAACCACGATTCGACCTTCTCTACACTTAAGCCCTTGCCCGAACACACACCGCACGCGGGTCTCGAGAACGAGCATTTCAAAGAGCGAAGGAAAGAGAAGATCGAATCGTGATATAACTCCTCACCGAAGCTGACCAGCGACGCGCCTGTTGCTGGAGCTGTTGGTTGTTGTTTTGCGAAGTAGTCTATCTGCCTTCTGGCTGTCGACCTGTTGTTGCTAATCTTGTGTTGCTCCATGTATATTTCTTTCATACAAATGCTATATGTTTCTGTTGTTGTTATTAGTGAGTATCGCTGCTGCCAACGTTGCCAGTCACCTTTGAATAGGGCTCTGGAGAGTCCGATAAAGTCGCTTCCGATAGCGACGAGGAGTGTCTGCCGCAAAAGATTTTCGTGGAGGCCTACAAGAACGGACCGTTGAGGACCACGGTGAGGGTGAGTATTAGGCTACTACTCACCCTCGTCTGGACCTTAGGGGCCGGTTCTTACAGGCCTCCACGAAAACCTTCTTGGGAAAAACTCTCCTCGTCGCTGTCGGAAGCGAATTCATTTGATACCCACGAGTCCCATCCAAAGCGTCAAGGGCAACGTTGGTAGCAGCGACCACATCATCCACATTATACACCACAAACATCAACAGGAACGTATGGAATACACAACGTGTGTTGTGTTAGTTAGATACCGTCTGTCTGTCGTATCTGTCCTGTCTGTCTGTCGACCTGTTGTTGCTGATCTTGTTGTTTGATGTGTGTTTATTTCATTCCGATATGTTTCTGTTATTGGTGGTGAGTAGCCGCCATTGCCAACGTTGCCCTTCACCTTTTGGATAAAGGAGTCGTGGGAGTCCGACGAGGTAGCCTCCAATAGTGATGAGGAGGGCCTGCCGCGAAAGGTGTACGTGGCAGCGTACAAGAATAGACTCCTGAGGCCCAAAACAAGGTAGTAGTTTTGTGAAATTCAAGAAACTAGTTCTCACCCGTGTCTTGGACCGGAGGGGTCCGTTCTTATACGCCCTGACGTACACCTTTTCGGGCAAGCCCTCCACGTCGCTGTCGGAGGCAATCTCATCGGACTCCCACGAGTCCTGTTTCCAAACGGTGAAGGTCAACGTTGGCAGCAGCGACCACATCATTAACAACAGCACCAACAACATCAACAGTAACAGGAACGTATGGAATAACCATGTTTTGTGTTGATTAGATGTCGTCTGTCTGTTTGTCTTGTGTCGTAAAATGCTTTTTTTTTTTTGTTTCTTCGATGGATGTGCGCATATCTGTGGATGTTTTGTTGGTGCTTTTGTCGATGACGTGGTCGCTATTGCCAACGTTGCCGTTCAACTTTTGGATAGGACTCGTGGGAGTCCGATGAGATTGCCTCCGACAGCGAGGAGGAGGGCCTTCCCCGGAGGGTGTACGCGCCCGCGTACAAGAACGGACCCCTCCGGTCCAAGACACGGGTGAGAAGGTTGAGCCGCATGCCTGGTGCTGTGTTCACGCACTCTTGTCGAAGTTTCTCGCACCAAGCTCTCTCTCATCATCCCATATCGACAATGAATACTGCGTTGAGAGTTGCTGTGTTTTCGTCACAGCAGGACATATATACCAAATATTGATGCATGTGTCAGCACTTTGCTGGGGTCCCATTTTTCGATGTCCATAGCAAGAAGTTAACATACGAATTGTGCTAATCGGGGCCAAGCTCTCAGGGCGATATTGTATATCTAAATATTCAAGAGCTGTACATGTAGAGCTCGCATCTTCCCTCTCAACAGCAGCAGAACAATAACCCCTGGTACAATTGATTTTGGCGGAGCTGATGTATTTGCATGACGCGTCCAATACTGCAAAGCATCTCTTCATATGCGAACACCCGTTTTTCATCTCGTCTCCATGCGTCGTACCGTATGCATCTTCGTCTCCACGTCTATGTCGTCCCAACGTTTCCATTTTCTGTCTAACATCGAAGTTACCCTTCTTTCTTTCTGGCCGGCGCACTTTGGTTTCATAGTGGGGGAGGAGGAACGGCAAGCCGTATTACCCGGACTGGTACACGGAGTCCATGTATGAACCGGTGGACGTTCCGTTCACGGAAGATGCCGAGATTCAGGAAGGCGAACAGGGCGAAGAGCCTAGCGAGGGCCTAAAGGAGCTAAAAGGCGGCATCGATGGGGACGACAACAACATGGACGTAGACTAGATGCCTAGGGCGATTCTGGCAATGACAGTGGGGGGGGGGGGG